AGAGTCTCACTATGCTGCCCTGGGTGGAGTGCTGTGGTGTCAAGCTCACAGCAACCTCCAACTCTTGGGCTTAAGCTATTCTCTTGCCTCAGCCTCCCAAGTAGCTTGGACTACAGGTGCCTGCCACAACACCTGGGTATTTTTTGTTGCAGTTGTCTTTGTCATTTAGCTGGCTTGGGCCAGGTTCGAACCTGCCACCCTTGGTGCATGTGTGCCACTGTGGTGCCATAACCACTGTGTTACAGGTGCTGAGCCAGAGTCTCACTTTTGCTCAGGCTGGTCTCGAACTCCTCCTGAGCTCAAGCAGTCCACCTGCCTTGGTCTCCCAGAGTGCTAGGATTGCAGGTGTGAGCCACCATGCCCAGACTTCCTTAGTCTTCTGGATAGGCTATCTTTATTCCCCAGGTGTGAGCCTTGGCTGAATATGGGCTTGATAGGTAAGGGAGTTAATAAGGATGAAGGCTCATGTTTTTTTTCAATGGGTGCTGGAAGTTCTGCCTCATCCTAATGGATATCTAGGGAGAGAACTTTGGGTGTATAGTTCACTTGAGTTTAGAACATTGTTCAAGGAACTTTCTACTGAGTAGATCCATAGAGCCCTGTAGGTTAAGTACAAAGTCCAGTAGGAACCTGGGAAACCCAACATAGCCTTTAGCATACTGGATTTGAATCAGAAGAGTTGATTCCCAGATAACGTATTAGCTATGTAATCTTGGGCAGATACTTAACTTCTGTAAGTCTCAAATAAATTCACTGAATCTTTTTTTTTTTTTTGAGATAGAATCTCTGTTACCCTTCCTAGAGTGCCAGTGGCATCACTGCAACCTCAAACTCTTGGGCTCTAGCAACCCTCTTGCCTCAGCCTTGCCAGATAGTTGGGACTACAGGCACCTGCCACAATGCCCAGCTAGTGTTTCTGTTTTTTAGTAGAGATGGGGTCTCACTCTTGGTCTGGCTGGTCTTGAACTCATGAGCTCAGGCAATCCACTAGCCTCAGCCTACCAGAGTGCTAGGATTATAGGCATGAGCCACCACACCTGGCCAATTCATTGAATCTTTATAGAGCCTCTCTGATGTATAAGGTATAGTAGTTCTTGCCTTTAATGGGTACGCAGCCTGTGGATATAGATATGTAAATAATTCAGATACAAAACAAAAGTGATGATGCACTATATACAAATTGCATGTAGAGGAAAAGACTATTCTGATCAAGAAAGGTTTTGGAGCTTTAGCAGGGCTTTGTAGTATGAGGGTAATAAGAGAGGAGAGGACCTTCTAGGTCAAAGGAATAGTCTGCACAAAGGATACTTTGGTTTGCAGGTGAATGCCATGTTCAGGATGCTGCTAATAATCTGGTATGTCTAGAGCATGAGTTAGCAATTTTTTTTCTGTAAAGGGACAGATAGTAAATATTTTAGGGTTTATTTTGCTGTATGGATAAGTCTCTGGTAACTATATAACTACCCAGCTTTGCTGCTGTAGTGTGAGAATAGCCATAGAAGATATATAAACTAATGGGCATGACTGTGTTCAAGTAAAATTTTATTTATTAAAAAGGCAGCCAGTTGTATTTGGCCCAAGAGTCACAGTTTGCCCAGTCTTGTCTGGAGGAAAGAGGGTATGTATGTGTATGTGGGTGTGCACATGTGCACATGTGTACATGTTTGTGTATTGTGGGTGTAGGAGAGTGTGGTAGTAGTAGGTAGCAGGAGATGAAGCCAGAAAGGCAGAATAAGAAATCTGTGAAAACCAAGCTACTGGCCTGGTCTTGGTGGCTCACGCCTGTAATCCTAACACTATGAGGCTAAGGAGGGCGGATTGCTTGAGCTCAGGATTTCAAGACCAGCTCAAGCAAGAATGAGACCCTGTCTCTAAAAATTACCTGGATGTAGTGACAGATGCCTGTAATCTCAGCTACTTGGGAGGCTGAGGCAGGAGGATCACTTGAGCCCAAGAGTTTGAGGTTGCTGTGAGCTATGATGCTATAGCACTCTACCAAGGCCAGCAAAGTGAGACTTTGTCTCAATAAATAAATAGGGCGGCGCCTGTGGCTCATAGGAGTAGGGTGCTGGCCCCATATGCTGGAGGTGGTGGGTTCAAACCCAGCCCTGGCCAAAAACTGCAAAAAAAAGGATGAATAAATAAATAAATAACCCAGTTTAATGATGTTACTAGTTTTTGAGAGAAGGTCTCCCTATGTTGTCCTGTTCTCAAGAAGTTCTACCCCTGGCCCCATGCCTGTAGCTCAGTGAGTGCCAGTCATATACACTGAGGCTGGTAAGTTCGAACCTTGCCTGGGCCAGCTAAACAACAATGACAACTGCAACCAAAAAAATAGCTGGGTGTTGTGGCAGGGGCCTGTAGTCCCAGCTACTTGGGAGGCTGAGGCAAGAGAAACGTTTAAGCTTGAGAATTGGAGGTTGCTGTGAGCTGTGACGCCCCAGCACTCTATTGAGGGTGACATAGTGAGACTTTGTCTCAAAAAAAAAAGTTCTCCCCCCTCAGGCTCCCCAGCAGACTCGTGCCACTGCACCTGGCTCTACTGAAGATATTTTTGTAGTTATGTCTAGGGGATAGGGAACCATAGAGGCTTTCTTTTTTTTTGAGACAGAGTCTCAAGCTGTTGCCCTGGGTAGAGTGCTATGGCATCATAGCTCACAGCAACCTCCAACTCAGGCTCAAGCAATTTTCTTGCCTCAGTTTTTCTATTTTTTAGTAGAGACAGGGTCTTACTTTTGCTTAGGCTGGTCCTGAACTGGTGAGCTCAAGCAATCCACCTGCCTCAGCCTCCCAGCATGCTAGGATTATAGGCATGAGCCACCACGCCTGGCCCATAAAGGATTTTTTGAGCAGAAGAATAATGTTATCATAGTTGTAAATTAGGAAAATAAATAACAGTGTGGCAAGTAGTTTAAACTGAAGGCAGAGGAACCAATTAGAAGGTTATTTCAATAGGCTTGGTGCCTATAGCTCAGTGGCTAGGGTGCCAGCCACATACATAGACCAGAGCTGGTGAGTTTGAAACCAGGCCAGGCCTGCCAAACAACAATGACAACTACAACCAAAAAAAGAAAAAATAGCCAGGCATTGTGGCAGGTGCCTGTAGTCCCAGCTACTTGGGAGGCTGAGGCAAGAGAATTGCTTAAGCCCAAGAGTTTGATGTTGCCATGAGCTGTGATGCCACGGTACTCTACTCACGGTACTCTGTGATGCCACATAGTAAGACTATGTCTCAAAAAAAAAAAAAAAGTTATTTCAATGGATGAAGCAAGCCATGATAAGGGATTAGTTTTCTTATCTGTAAAATGGGAATAACACTCCTTGTTCTAGCCATTTTATTGTGTTATTATGAGGATCCAGTAAGAAAATAAAGTGAATGTGCTTTGACACCATAAATGTCACAAATGTAGGAAGTGAACTGTACCTTACAATAATTCTTAGTAGTGATGGTAATTTTTCTGTTGCAGAAGGGAATTCCTGGGAGGTATTGTGAGTTGAGTCATCTCCCTGGCTGTTCTCAGTAGCTTTGGAATGAACCCCTCATGCTGTCTGGCGCCTGTTGGTTCCAATAGTAGAACATGGGCTAGACTGATCCTTAAATGCTGACCTCAGGAGGGTCCACTACTTTGTGATTTTTTTTTCTTTTGGAGTTACCCTTCCTTAAGGTGAGAAGGAATCTTGGAAACTAGGGAAAGAAACTACTAGAAAAAGAGTTTGCTTGTAATTTGTTATAAAAATTCCTGGGTTCTCCTGGGAGTAGATGTCTAACTATGTTGCTGAAGCTGTTACTCTTTCTTCTTCAGGGGATGTTGGAAATTATTATTATGGACAAGGCCACCCAATGAAGCCTCACCGAATCCGCATGACTCACAATTTGCTACTTAACTATGGTCTCTACCGAAAAATGGAAATCTATGTGAGTTATTGGGAGTGCTACTGCTCCCTAACCTCATCAGTTCTGATTCCCCATATGCCACTCATTATCTCATTTTCTCAACTACTCATTCATTCATTCATCAAATGTGTTGTGTTGCTGTTATGTGGTAGACGCAGTAAATGACAAAGATTATATTTTTAAGGTGTTCACTCTAGTGTTAAAGACCCACATGTAAGTGAATAAATTATAGTGTATACATTAAACAATTTAAAAATGTACAAGGCCAGGCACAGTGGCCTTGAATGGTTGAGGTTGGAAGATTGCTTGAGGCCAGGAGTTTGAGACCAACCTGAGCAAGAGGAGACACCATCTTTGCTAAAAATAAAAAATTAGTTGGGTGTGGTGGTTTGTGCTTGTAGTCCCAGCTACTCAGGAGGCCGAAGCAGGAAGATCAATTAGGCCGAGGAGTTTGAGGTTGCAATGAGCTATGATGATAACACTGCACTCTATCCCAAGCAACACAGACAGGTCTCCCCTGTCTCAAAACAAATAAACAAAAAAATGTACAAGATTTCAGCATCTGGCTTGGCGCCTTTGGCACAGTGGTTACAATGCCAGCCACATACACTGAGGGTGGTGGGTTTGAATCTGGCTGGGGCCAGCTAAAGAACAATGATAACTGCAACAAAAAACTGGGTGTTTAAAAAAAAAAGATTTCAGCATCTTCTGCTTAAAAAAAATATGTATAAGACACAGAGATAATGAAGAGTGAAGAAGGGAGCCTTGGAGTGTTTTCTAGAGATGCTATCTTAGCAGGGTTTTTTCTTTTGTTTGTTTGTTTTTGAGACAAAGTCTCACTCTGTCACCCTGGTTAGAAAGCCATGGTGTTATAGCTCACAGCAACCTTAAACTCTTGGGCTTCAGTAGTCCTTTTGTCTCAGCCTCCCAAATAGCTGCAACTATACATGTGTGCCTCTACACCCAGCTAGTTTTTCTGTTTTTTTTTTTTGAGACAGAGTCTCAGTTTGTTGCCCCTGGTAGAGTACGGTGGTGTCATAGCTCACAGCAACCTCAGACTCTAGGACTTAAGTGTGATTCTCTTGCCTCAGCCTCCTGAATAGCTAGGACTATAGGCCCCTGCCACAATGTCCGGCTATTTTCTTTTTTTTGGAGACAGAGCCTCAAGCTGTCCCCCCAGGTAGAGTGCTG